TGTTGTATGATAGGCTTCTTGAGGCTGTGTGTCCGTGTTCTGTGGCTCATTCTGCCTCATGAGTGTTTTGAATTTTCCAGTATTTGTCTTAAGAATGAGCATGGTAATTCTGACTGGTAGCCATAGCATGTCTGTTATGCGAAGCATATGGCTCTTTCTTCAATCAGCAACTCAGAAAAGTATCACCTATGAATTCATCCTTGAATTGTCTGCTATGCAGTTCCTGTCACAACTGCTTTTGAGACAATTACTCCTTGAGGAAGTTAGTCTAAGGGAGATGACAGCCCTCCATACCTCCAAGTTATTACAGCTCCACCCTTCCTGTGTCATTAGTGCACACAGAGGTACACATTTCAAGCCCCACTGGTTTTCTGTATAACAGATTTCTTCCAAAACTTAAAAACTCATTGACAGTTACCTAATTATGGGGAGGCAGAGTTTATTTATATTAACCTAGATATCTAATGCCACAGGCAGATTTAACTTTCCTTAGTACTGCTCTTTATCACAATAGAGAAAAAAAACACATAAAGGACATGTATTCATCTTCTGGAAAATTGATAACAAAACTTGTTTTTTATTGCTCAAAGATTCTTATAAATGAACCAGTTAGAGGAATTTATTTTTACATTTTATTATCAGGCAATAATTTGTCTCAACTAATTAATTAGTACATGCTTTCTTCCATCAGACAAAGGGCATTCTAGAACCTATGAGCTTTTTCTTTTTGCCTTAGCTATGAGGAAGCTCAAAGTTCAATTTAATGTCCAATCATAGTAACCAAATTAGCCTGACTTTACGTTTCCATTTCTGTGCCTTCTACTCTAAGCCGTTGCAAATTCTTTATTTTGATATAGGGAGGTTATGAACTATAATTTTATTCTATTCCATTTGACAATAAGTTTTTCATACTTAATATGCACCAGACATGGTACTAAGTCTTGGGGATTTAAAGATGAATAAAAAGTGGCCTTGGACTTTCAAGAGCTCATAGTTTTATTCAGTGAGACAAATCATAGTTGTAGTTTTTACATTATGTAGAAGGAGTTTGATTTTTCTGTACTGTTCAGAGAAATTTCAATTTCCTCCTAATTTTATTCGTATATGCGTGTGTGTGTGTATTCACATTATGACATTGATAAGTTCAGAAATTCTCCTAATTTTCTTTAATTTTATTCAAAGTGTATTGCATATATACAGATTTAGTAAAATAGTGATAGTTCCCACCCTACCCTCCCCTTCTCCCTCCCATGCTTCAACATTTATTCCTCCTCCCACTCCTATTCCCACTATTAATTTTTACAAAAATCTATTTTCAGTTTAAACCCTACACCAACTAGAGAGTTCAACAAATAGTATGAGGAAAAAAAAAAAACACTGTTCCTCAACAGTAGACGCTAGAGCTGTAAACAATAATGAAATCTCAAAATGTCTATTTCACTCCAGTACACTACATTTTAGGTACTCCATTAGTTACCCCATATCAGGGAAAACATATGATCTGTCTTTTTGGGACTGGATTATTTTACTAAGAATAATGTTTTCCAGTTGCATCCATTTTGTTGCAAAAACAGGATTTCATTTTTTTTTATTTTTACAGCTGAGTGGTGCTCTACAGTGTGTATATACCATAGTTTTTTTATTCACTCATCAGTTGATGGACATCTGGGTTGATTACATATCTTAGCTATTGTGAATTGAGCTGCTATAAATATGGGAATACAGATAACTCATATGCTGATTTCTTTTGGGTATTTTTTTTTAAAATATCAGTCCTGAAGTACATGTCTTTTTATTTCTTTATTTTAAATTTTATTTGTTTTGCAAGTCTCATATATTTCCTATATACAGATTTAGGAACATAACGATACTTCCCCTTCTATCCTCCACCCCCACTGCCCACGCTCCAACCCTTCCTCCCCCTCCCTCTTGAATTTCCATTCTTAATTTTTACAATGATATATTTTCATTATACTTAATTATTGTATAGTTACCCTTACTCTGAGTAAAGGAGTTCAACAAATAGTATTCAGAGAAAGAATACAAAACAAAACATTACACTGTTCCTCGGTGGAAGAGACAAGGGCTATAAACAATCATTTATTCTCAAAATGTCTATTTCACTCCAATATGTTTTCAGTTTATTTTATACTCATAAGGTTAACCCTACATTAAGTAAAGAGTTCAACACATAGTATAAAAAAAAAAAAAAAAACTGTTCCTCAACAGTGGAGACAAGGGCTGTAAACAAACATTGAATCTCAAAATGTCCATTTCACTCCAATACATTACATTTTAGGTAGTATATTAGTTACCCCAGAAATTTCAAGCATCTTGTATAACCTAGTCATGGAAGAAAGATTAAGCACACATCAAAAACCCAGATCATTATAACATTACACATAAATGAGGAGACATTAAAACTAGATAATGTTTTCTCCACTAAGGACAAGAATAAGCATGTCTTTCCTATTTACTGAAACAAGAAAAAGGATGTGACTAGCTTGCTTGCTCTCAAAAATGTGATTCTTGAGCTCTGATGTTATTGGTCTAGCATGAGAATAGAATGGCCTCTCAGAAGCTGGAATTGTATCTTTGTGACACCTAAGGGCAAGGTGGTTCTGATTGTGTGAAGCTCTGTTTCCATGAAAGTCAGGTAGTAAGACTAAATCGTTTCATATGGGAAATGAAATGGTGTTGTTTTCTCTTGTAGGGTCAGATCCTTTAATATAGCCAGATATCAGCATTCATTCATTTGACCCAAGAGGTTATCTGTTTGAGAGGCAAGAAGAAACCTGTGCTTGACTCGAATTTTGGCTGGAACCTCAATACTCTAAATATTCTTTGTTTTAAATTTAGGGATTGAATTGAGATACCAGTTTCGACTGCTGCCCATATGGTTCATTGTGCAGTTCGGTTATAAGTGACCACTATATGCAAAGAGTAGATTCTTACCTTTACTGAAACATAATTTTTGCAATTAAAAATGAAAAACCTAGGGACTCCTAGGGAATAAAAGTGTTTCCTACCCACCTTTATCTTTTAAATATGCCTTTCAAATGTATTTCTGAAAATACAGTGTTTATTTAGCTAAGGATTATATGGAATGTTACTTGTTTAATCACTACTTTAGTACCAAGGTTGCATATAATGCAATATAAGATGTTCTTGAGGATAAGAATACTAAAATTCACATGTATTTAATTTCTACAGATCTCAATTTTCCAGTGTTCCCTTAGAATATATTTAGCATACTTTAGTTGATCTTTGAAATTCATATCTTTATAACTTCCCTCATTTCCTTGATTTAATACATATATGAATTGAAGGCATATACAGTATATAGAGACTGTGCTAGTAATAAAGTCAAGATATCCATTGGCTTCTCTCTTTTCGATTGTTCTTTCTCGATGCCCTTTGTTGTCTCCTTTTCTTCTCTCAGTCTTTTAAAGTTTGACGCTGCCCAGGGTTTCCTTCCCCAACCTGATCTTCTCATTCTACATTTTCTTTTCCTGGGTGATTTCATTTATTTCCAGTACTTCACCCTCCATCTATCTGCATAATCTCCCATCTTTACATACAAAGAATAGTTAGCAGCTATATAAGTTAGGTTTAGACTGAGATACCAGACTTGGGCCAGTGTACTCCCTGTATATACTAGGGGAGCAGCCTGTGTATAGGCCATGTAAGAAACCTTAGATGTTAGACATTTGTCTTCAGTGGACAGTTTACCAACGGGGAGGTGTTCACCTCCTCCTGTTCATGGAGAACATGTTTGTTACTCCTGGGACCTGAAGGCCACATTAGGTGGTATCTTCCCTACCTGGTGGCCCAGTTGTCAGATGGCTCTTGGATATTAGTAGCCATCTTTTATTGCAACGTCTTAAGCCTAGATAATGAATCCCATGCACAAAGAAGTCCTTTACCCTTCTGAATTCAGGAACTTATTTTGATAACCCCTTTAGCATATAAAAAATAAAAATCAATTTGAGGATGAACAATTGAGATTTCATCAATGTAGTATTCAAGTATACCCACTATTTTTCAGTCATGAAAGATTTGCTTTGTATGTTGCAAATTTTATGCAGGAGCTTAATTATTTTAAAAAATCATCATAACTATCTTAATAGGATTAATATATCCTATAGGAGTGCTGTAGATGGCATGATGATTGTCCGTAGAATGATTTGGTTGCTTCTGCAACTCCTACCCATTAGACTAACATCATTTTGAAAAGATTACTTTGATTTACTTAACCAATACTTTGAATTCTTGAATATTTTTTTTCTAAATCACTGAAAAGACACAGGAGGATTTGAGTCACTGTTGAAGAAAATTGCATTCTTTCAAAGTAAATGAGTATGAATTATCAGTATGTAAATAGTCACCCCCAGAATATGTAGGCAGACACCAGTAATTTATACATTTCTTTGATTAAAAGGAATTAGCTTCACTTTAGTCATAAGTTAGCTCAATTAGATGTTGTTTAATCCCATGCCCTTTCTAAACTTAATATTGTCATGATAACACAATTTAGCTGACTTCCTTATCCAATTGGCTAAGCCTTTTTCTTGGTATAATATAGTACAAAGGCTTATGTATCAAGAACATATATAATATTCAGTTATAATTCCAATTATCAATAAAGTGAAGTTGTTTTTATTTCATGTAACAGTTCAGCTCATCTGACCTAAAATATATAATCTTTCAAATCTAATTAATAAATAACATAATTTAAAACTTTTTTCAATAACTTTAAGACAGGCCAATTAGTATCCCAACGTTAATCACACTTGCTCTTTACAAGACGCTCTTTAAGTAGTGTTATTGATTTTTTTTCTCTCAGAGAATATGAAAAGTATGAAATTTTATGGAAGTGTGACAATTTTACAGAACCCTATATGCTAGTCTACTTAAGGCATCTGTTTGAAACATAAACATTAGGAAACACAAACCTATTCATTCTTTCTCCTCCCACCCCCATCTTTTTGTTATTTTAGACAAACAAAGGTGATGCACTTGCCAACCGAGTCCAGAACACGCTTGGAAACTATGATGAAATGAAGGATTTGCTAACTAACCATTCTAATCAGAATCATCTAGTGGGTATCCCAAAGAATTCTGTGCCCCAGACTCCCATCAACAAAAATGAACCAAGCTTTTTTTCAGAACAAAAGAACCGAATGATACCATCTCACCAGGATAATACCCATTCCTCGGCATCAGTGCCTCCACCTTCTGTTGTGATCCTGAATTCAACCCTGATACACAGCAACAGAAAATCAAAACCTGAGTGGCCACGAGATAGTCATAATCCTAGCACCATACCAGCAAGCCAGGCCGGAAGTCAGCCCAACAAGATGCAGACTTTGACACAGGACCAGACTCAAGCCAGACTCGAAGATTTCTTTGTCTACCCAGCTGAAGCTCCCCAAGTTGGAGCCACTGAAGAATCAAATCCATCTACAAAGGAAGACATTAATCCCATGTTCAGTGGAGAGGATGCTTTCAAAGAAATCTTTCAATCCAACTCAGCAGAAGAATCTGAATTTACAGTGCAAGCACCTGGGTCTCCCTTAGTTGCCTCTTCTTTATTAGCTCCCAGCAGTGGCCTTTCAGTTCAAAGCTTCCCACCAGGGATTTACTGCAAAACAAGCATGGGGCAGCAAAAACCAACTGCATATGTAAGACCCATGGATGGCCAAGAACAGGCACCAGACATCTCTCCTACACTGAAACCTTCCATTGAATTTGAGAACGGGTTTGGGAATCTGTCATTTGGATCACTCTTGGATGGAAAACCCAATGCAGCCAATTCAAAGACTAAGCTGTCAAAGTTCACGATCCTCCAAACAAATGAAGTAAGTAATTTTTCAAGTTTTGTTTCATTTTTATTTCACTTTTCTAACCTCTATTATCAAATATTCACAACAAGCTCTTAATTGCCTTATTAAGTCATATATGATTCTTCAAGGTCAGAATCTTGTTCTTGATCTGTCACTTGAGACATGACTAGTTAACACTCTGCAAATACAGTTAAATTTTGGTAATTTGGAATGACCAATGAAAAGGTTAGTATGAATGAAAAGTTGGAGTTATAAAATAGTTTCAGAAAATGCACCTTTAGCAATATGCACAAACTAGTAAAATTCAAAATTTTAACTTGTTAAATAGTATGAGGTTCATGAGTAGAGTGTAAATCACATAAGACCTTCAATAACCAAATAACATAAACATAAAACACAGAAGTTCCTTAAGGTGTGAGAACATACAAGTATGATTTGCTAGAACGTGAAGTGGAAGGGATTCTTTAAAAATCTTAGTTTTCTCTCTGCTTGCAGGGCTATTCCCCAAGGCTATTCCTTGGCAAGAGCTTAAAGTTATCTTTTGTATCCCTCAGTGCTCCCTTCTGCATCATGTCCTTCTAGAGATAACTACATAGCCCTCTCATACTACCTTCATCCCTTCTATTAAAAAAATGGCATTGTTACCAACCAAAGTCCCACTGGGTTTAGAGTGACTAAATGCCCTACCCATCTCAGGAATCACTGCCTTGTATAAGAGAAGTCTAGAGGGACCAAACACTCCCAAAGGAGTTAATTCCAGGCCTTGTTCCCCTGTGAGGGGATGTACATGGGGCTGCCTCTCTGACACTACCATGTATGCAGCTACCTACTGCACCTCAAGCATTGATGGGAAGAAGCTACTTCCTTTAAATTGGATTCCTGTTATTGGTGACTAAATGCTTGAAAAGACACAGAGGAAAAAAGTAGGTTGAAATTCTTACTTAAAAGGCGTGACAGACTTTCTGGATGAATTTTTGCAGAATCTAAGTTAGTGGTGTTCAAATTAGAGAATTCTGACTATCTAAGCCCTCTGCTCTTCTTCCTTTACTTATCCTCAGCAGATGCGGTGATTTCAGATGACAATGGGAACACAAAGGAAGGGATATATCTGGGGATGTTGCTTATAAATTCTAGACATATGATTTTAATATTTTTTCATTTCTGAGGCAATTTTGCTTTTTGTATCGTCATTCATGAAGTCTTGTGAAGCATCCTCCTAAGTATCTTTCCATTCTGTTGCCTATTCTGCACCTTCACTGCCTTTGAACCACCTGTAAATATCTTGTACTTGGACTGCTATGATAGCTCCTCCTAATTGGTCTCCCCCAACTCTAGCTCACATCTCTTCCAAAGCATCCTTCATACAGGCTGGTCCAATGGACATTTCTGACCATGTCTTTCCCTGCTTTTTATTCTTCAATGCCTTCTTATCACTTCCAGGACAAATTCCAACTTTCTTAGTCCCATATTCAAAGCTCTTTACTCTCTGGTTTCATTCTCTCTTTCTGGCCTTATATTTCACCACTTTTCCATATACATAAGCAATCCCATCCCTAAAGAACTACCCATGGTTCCCTGTCATATCATGCGTTTTGGCCTGCTGTCACCACAGTTAGAATGCCTTTCCCTACCCTCCCTTGTTTTCTTGGTGAAGTCTTATTTCTCCTGAAACGTCTGCTCAGTGGTCATTTTCTCTATGAAAACGTTTGTGATTCCTCTAGCTTTATTACAAACCACTTGTTCTGGATTCCTTTAGTGTCTTCTTTTATACACTTTGGTTGTCAGTTCATGGTATTATAGTTATGTGTTTATGTGTTTGCCTCCTATATTAGACTTTGAGCTCCTTGAGGGCAAGGAATGTCTCATTCTTTGCACCCCAAGTGCTGAGAAAATGCCTTGCACATAATAGATATTTAATAAATATTGAATAAATTAATTTCAAAAATTTTTATGATTAGATTTTATATGCTATAATGTTAATGTAAACAAAGATAAACAATTGCTAGAAAATTCATTTTCAGTCATATTTATTTAATTGCACTCTGTCTGCTCATGTCTTACTCAGCTCTGCTTCTGCATAATCATAAATCCTAATCCTTATTTCTACCAGCAGACTTAATATGGCGGTTTAATACTGAAAAACCCAAAAAGATATCGCTTTGAAAGAGGAAGATTATAGTGGGAGTTTGAGGTATTATTTTTTAAAGAATTATTTTATTTATTTGATAGAGTTACAGAGAGAGGTAGAGCCAGAGAAAGAGAGATCTCCCATCCCACTGGTTCGCTTCCCAAATGACTGCAATGGTCAGAGATGAGCTGATCCAAAGCCAGGAACCAGGAACTTCTTCCGGGTCTCCCATGTGGGTGCAGGGGCCCAAGGACTTGGGCCATCTTCTACTGCTTTCCCAGGCCATAGCAGAGAGCTGGATAGGAAGAGGAATAGCCAGGGCTTGAACTGGCGCCCATGGGATGCTGGTGCTGCAGGCTGGGCTTTAACCCACTGCATCACAGCACCGGCTCCAAGGTGTCGTTCTTACCATTTTCTTGCCCTGGTGTCTCTTGTTATTCCCTCCTTACATTGGGGTGTCAACATATAGGACTTGTCTTGAAATAGCACTGCCCTATAAAGCAATTTGGATTGACGGTTCTCATACCCAACAAGATCTAATCTGTCATAATCCCTTCTCTTATACATTCACAAAATGGCTGACCCAGATTCAAAAGTGACTTCAAACTTTCATTTGATGCTTTGACACACCAATGAGTGTTACATTTTCAAAAAGAGTCTGAGCTGTCATCAGTGCTAGAGGTGATTATCTAAGGAGCAGCCCATATGCATACAGTGTTTGGTGCTGGTGCAGATAGACTTTGAAAGATTTTTGTATGAAAAATGGGTCAGTTGCAATAAAGTTATGCTAGAAGATCAGTAAAGAAAGTACCCGTTTGAACATATAAGTCTCAAGGAAGGATTCAAAAGAGGGGTAGGGAGAAGCTTATGTTCATGAAGTCAGAAAAATACATAGTTTAAGGGTAATGTGAATACCAAAGACCAGAGGAAAGAAAATGAAAGGTTAGACAGCCCAACAGAGAACATAAAAGTGTGTAGATTAAAAAGTGGGCATAAATATAGACAAAGTAGAGCATTATGAAGCTTTGAACTAATGGAATTTATGTAGCAAAAACTCTGACCAAGTCTGAATATTCACCCTATTAAACCATGATGCACTTTTCAAAAAGCACTTAGCATTAGAATTCAGCTTCAGTTCTTGGCACCAAGGTTTTCAGGCAGTGGTTCCTTGTCTCTGTTCAGTATTGCCATCTTTGATGGGTCGTAGCTTTCCCTTGACTTATTGTGGAGAATGTTTATCCATACAATAATAAAAGATTTTCTTAGAGCATTCTCAACTTTTTCCCTGACTCTAGTGACAGACGGCTGACTTGTTTTGTTAATGAAATGCATTTGGAACAGAGAGTAGAACAGGAATTGCTAAATGACTAGAAAACAGACGCATTCTAAGATATACAAATAAGCATATAAGATTATATTTGTGTATTGTGAAATCATAAACTATCATTGAAATGTGATGTGTGTGTATTTATGTGTCCATATTTTTGTGTCTATACTTGTATTAGTATTGGGGAAATTTTTATTTCTTACCCTTGGAACATTCCCATGCTTAGAATTTCTGTATTAATAAAGATATTAGAAGTCTAAACAACTTTATTGCAAATGATCAGCTTTTTCAGTTGAGGTATGTAATTTAAAGAAATCATTTGTTTAAAACTCCATGCTACAGAATTTATTAAAATTCCAGGCAACCAAAAAAATAGCTGATGTGTGCTGCAATTAGGTTTAGAAGAATTTTTCTGGAAACTGCATCTGAATACAGTAACAGGACTATTTATGTCAAGTAGAAACTGAGGGTTGCTTGCAGATGGTGTTTTATTAGGAAATGAATTTGTTAGTAAATGTGGCTTTATACATGATTTTATTAGAGAGGTTTTTGTTTATTTTTTCCTTAGGAGAAAAATCTGCTGGTACAGATAGCTTCACATTTTGGTATAATTTGTTATTAGTATTCTTTGACAAATAAATAACTGCATGCAAATGAAATGATCAGTGTGATGTATTAAGTGTCTCCATCCCAATCCCAATATGGAGGGTGTCATCACAATAAAAGATCATTTGCTTTGCATGTTACTCTTGACTGTGATCTTAGGCTATTTGAGTCTCCAATTGCTGCAAAAATAGAAGTGTCTTAGGAAAGTTTAATGGAACTGACATGGGATTGGTCTAGCTTATTTTAGAGGTTAGATTTGTCAACCAGCTGAAAAGTTATCATTCAGATTTGTGGCTGCGCCTGCTTTGTTTTATACTCTATGCAGTGAACATTGTGAGTATAATTAGCTTTATTGATTATGAGGTACATAATAAGCAGAAGTCCCTTGTGTGAGAACTATAGAGAATAATGGGATCTTATTACTGGTGTTCTTGATGTCTGTGTAGCTACAAAAAAGAGATAGAGGCAGCTCCTTTACAGAATAGAATATCAACCAGCTGCTGTGTGTAATTCATTTTTCATTTAATGTACATCATGTAGTTCTTTTGTCCATTCTTATGGATATAAAATAATCTTCAGTTTCAGGCTATAACTGGTCTAATTTAAACACAATCTAGAATGAATGGAGACACCTCTAAAAGTACTTGCACTTTCAGGGTGCCAGAAAAGACTCTTGACCTTAACATTTTTCGAGACTGTGTAGAATCTGCAATACTTTGTACCTGCCATCCCATGAATCTGACCCCTGGTGGTTGCTTTTTTGTTTATACCTTTGACTAACTTTTCTAAATCTTTAGTTTCATTGGTGTTCAAATTCATTTTTCTTACCATAGCTCTTCATTTCTCTCTAACATTAATGTCTCCCTAGACTGAATGAAGTGACCACAAATGCAACACAAGGCCTTGCAGTCTTTTTGATGGTGAAGTCAGAGATGCTAAGAGAAAATTCAGTTA